GACGTTTAACGTGCTTTTGAATGCGTTACCATTACATTGCCCCCGTATATTGCGATTGCGCCCAAATCTCTTCAAATGCGCCTACTTTTTAGATTCACTGGCGAGATGGCACGCATCACAGACATAGGCTTAAACGACGACGAGCGATAACAACACCACACCACTGGTTAAATCACGCACAAAACGCCGATTAATCGTCAAACAGACGACTTCAGATGGGAACAGAATTCCGAACACAATAGCCATCAGGAAGGGCTTTGCAGTCCTGTCCACATCACGTTCATCGGGCTCATACGTGGCTGTTTATATCGATAGTACATCCCATTTTCAATGATTCACCTCCGACATTGGCTGTTCGCAAAAAAGGATTTGATTATTTATGTGATTTTGGTAAATTTGAAACTCTTGATATATAAAAAATGCTTGCTATATGTTATGCTCCGCTTTCAGGCTACTGTTATTCTTTATTTCAAATATAATCGAGACGACTCCAATGAATCCACTAAAACTCTGACAGTTGATGAATTTGCTAGAATTTACCGGATGAAATATGGCCAAGAGCGAATTCTGTAAGTGTTTTCCTTCAGATTCGTTGTCGGAAGTGATTGTAGGGGCTATCTATCGCAAGATACGGGGGCATCCTCAAGGACTAATCGTAAGCCTAGGAGAGCGCAGGAACCCAGGGGAAACTGAAAAATTGCACACGCTTTCTGGAGTCATCATTTCTCATTCGAGGTTTATTCCTATTTCTGACCTAGAGGAGAATTTTGACGCGGTTCCAAATGCATTGCCACCGCAGTGCCCCTGTATCTTGCAATGTCGCCTATTTGAATCAAGACCTTGTGTTTCACTTCCAGGCCTGGGATGAGGAAAAATCAAGGCGCTATCGCAAGGTATGAACCCAGCCATATGCTAACCATAAGTCGGATCCTGACCATTGACTGGGTAAAGCCAGGACTCTTTTGGATGTGAGCACAATAGGCGTCCGCTAGAGTTTAGGAGATCGGAGATTAGGATAGTACGCGACAATGAAAAACATATGTATTGACGGGGAGATTAGGATAGTAGTAGATTAGGATAGTAGTAGAGTAGGAGATTGCGCTGACAAGATTAGATACGTATCGAATCATTATGAACGAAGTGTATACGTATAATAAAGC